CCACAGCCCAGGGTGCAGCTGCACTTGGGGCTGTTCCCAGATTTATTGGGGGAATCCACGAGGAAGCAGTGGTCCCAAAGACACCTCATGACCCCCCCAGCAATAATATCTTCCCAACCATCTGAAAGAGAGATTGCCAAGATGCCTGCTTGTCCCCTTGTCACCCCTCCCCACTGTCATGAGGGACCTTGCAGTGACATCCCTAGGTGCAGCCGACCCCTTGTTCTCCCACCACAGTGTCCCAAAATCCCATTATCCCCAAATCCACACGCTTGCTGCCAGAGCCCAAGCACCTGGAACACGGAGCAGCAGCATGGCTGGCAGGGAGTGAGGTGGGCTCCACACTGGGGTCCCTGCAGAAGGCTTCGGTGGGGGCTGGTGGGAGCAGCTACCCGCTGCTGGGAGCTGCTGGACTGACATTTATTTTTAGACGTGAATTGTATAAATTAGCATTTCTCAGCGGATTAAGCAGCAGGAATTGTGTAAAATTAAATGGCAACGAATTGCATTAAAGTCCCCCGTTTTCTGGCACAAACTGCGCCTCGAGCCGTGCCCAGGCGGCTCATGTGTAACAGCGCCGGAGATGGCGCTGCGCTGCTCCGGACAGCAGCCTGCACTGCCCGGGACACAGGGCTGGAAATGCACAGGCACAGCGGCCAGACTGCGAGGATGGAGGGCTCCAAATGGGCTGTGAGCCCCTGGGTAGCCGGTTCAGGAGCTGGGCTGGGACTGCAGGATGTGGATGCAGTGAGTGGAGTGCTGTGACCCAGATGGGCACAGATGGGCTCAGCTGAGCGGCTCACGGGCATGGGATCAGTGAGGGATGCTCCAGCCTCTCCTGGGCACTGACAACACCAGCCCCAGCCCAGCCAGTCCCTGCCAGGCATGGCAGGACACCCATCAGAGTCACAGCCGTGTCACCCTCCAGAGGAGGGGATGCTGTGCTGGGACCAATATGCCACTGCCTGGCCCAAGAGCCACTCTGTTCCACTCTGTACCTGGAGCCCACTGAGCAGCTGTGGGAGGCACAGCTCTGCACAGGAGTACAGGGAAAATGGAGTGGCTGAATGCCAGGGGCTGAGCAGGCACCAGGCAGGGCAGGGCAGGTGAAAAACAATCAGTCCATCTCTTTTACCCAGTAAAAATAGGTTGAAAATGTGACATTTATTAAGTACGATTCTGGTGGAAAGGTCAGAGAGTTCCCAAGTCAGGAACAGTGGGAGAGCCTTGCTGGAGGAGGCGACAGCCTGCTGCCCCCGCCCACCCCCTGCACCAGGATCTCCTGTGTGCATGTGGAATGCAGCTGGGGATGTTGCCCGTCTCAGCACAGGGCTTCCCCCTCTGGGGTCTGCATGGGGCGCTGGGGACATCCCTCTCACAGCCCGAATCCCGGGCAGGCAGGAGGCCTAGCATGGAGCGCCGGGGCCGCTGCCAGCTCCGAGAGGCACTGCCAGCTCTCAGCAACCTCCCTGCTCCCCCCCAGCTTCCAGCCCCGGCACAACTGGCTTCGGCAGCCACACATCACAAACAAAAGGCTTTTGACAACGAATGAGGTTTTGAGAAAGGCACTGGGCTCCTTCCCGGCCGCGAGAGCGGAGGCTCCTGCTGCAGCCACTGCCGGCAAACAGGCGGGATGCTGCTGCCAGCTGAGGGGGCCCCTCCATGTGCTTCTTCCCGCAGCCCCCAGACTCCTGCACACCCCATCTGGCTGTACCCCCATCTCCAGAGCACTGCCGGGAAGGCTCCCTCTTGCCTCAGGGCCACCTGACGTGGCCAGAGCTGGCCTCGGGCTGTGGCTGTAGCGGGGTGCCAGGCAGGGAGGATAGGGGGATGCAAGGCACCCATGGCAGCTCAGCCCCAGCCCGGTGGGGACACTTCCCAGCCTGCTGCTGAATGGCATGTAAAGAGCACCATGGATCTCCTGCACCAGCACCCTCAGCTCTGCAGCTGCACTGCCCAGCCAGCAGTGCTCCCCACCAAGGCACCCATGGGACAGCGTGTTAGCGGGCACTGGGCAGTGCCCCGAGCCCTGCAGGGCCTGGGGGCTGTGCAGCACGGTGGGCACAGCTCTGTGGGTCACAAGAGGCTCTCCAAGGCTCCAGCACGGCCCTCCAGCAGCCGGCACGGGGCACATTTGTCAGCGGGGCTGCAGGGAGCCTCGCTGCGGCTCAGGGTTGTCCCTGCCGCTGGGGAGATTTACAGCCCAGCCAGGCTTTATTACATGGAAGATGCTTACGCTGGGGATTTTTTTTTTCCCGATAGTTTCTTAATTTGCTGTCCCATAAAGAATGTGGATTTGTGACGTTGAATAGGGGAAGATCATTTAGCACTCACGGCTCTTACTTAAAGGATCCGCACGAGTTATTTATTGAGCGTGCACGGGCTGCAAGCGGCAGTGTGAGGGGACATGCTCCAGCCCTGGCACTGCTCCTGCTCCTGGACAGGCAGTCGGTGGCAGCCCCACAGCCTGGCCACTCTCGTGCTGAAAAACTTCCAGCCTCTGGACAAAGTGCACCTCGTGCCAGGAGGGAAGGAAAGACTCCAGCACTCCTGCAAGCATGGCTGCAGGGAAAGCTCCTTCCCTTCTCCAGTGTCACTGGGGGACAGCCTCTGCTACACAGGCTGCTCACTGTGGGCTCGGTGCCCTGGGATCCCAAGCCATTTGCCCTACTGGGATGTGCTGCAGTCTGGGAGCCCCCCATCACTGCTAGGACATGCTGTGACTCACACTCGCCCACAGCAGAGCAGATACAAAAGCTTTCTGAACATGAAGGCTCACATGGGGACCCAGAAATGGGACCAACAAAGCTTGGAGCTCCCCACCACATGAGCAGCCCTCACTGGGGCCACAGCTATGAGGCACAGGAGTACCCAAGCCCACACAGCACAGCTGGGACTCAACCTGCCTGCCAAGAGGCCTGTGTTGTGTTTCAGTCATTCCCAGGAGGCACAAGGGACCGATTTGGCTTAGGGAATGGGAGTAGAAGGTTCCAGCTGCAAATGGTGTGATGCCATGACAGGTCCCACTGTTGCCTGGCAAGGCTTTGGGACATGTTATGTGGCAGAGAGTTGTATCACATCTTCACCATCCCTCCCCACACCCATCTCTGCAGCCTCTCCTGCCCCAGGTTCACCCCTTTGCTGCAGGCAAGTGAGGGGGGACAGGTACACCCCTTTCTGCTGACAGTCCCTGATGCCTCAAAGGCCAGAAATGTTGAGCTGTGGACAGAGTGGGTGGAGGCTTTAGGAGCCCTATACTCCCCTTCTTTGGCCATAAGCCCATGGATCAGCTGGCACTAGCCATGCTTACACCTGAAACCTGCTCCGGTGCAGGGTGCCAGCACACCAGAGCCTGGCTGCCTGAGCCTCCCCAGGACATTCTCGTGAGCAGATGAGGCAGGCAGGCCAGCTGGTCCTGCACGGCCACATGCTGAGAAACTGGGTCCCAGTGACTGTCCTGGTGGTCACCCTGCACTGCCACACAGCTCAGCACATGTCACACACTCTGTCCATGCTGTGGGGAGCCTGCACCGCTCCATCCACCCGAGCTCTGCCCTGCCAACATCACAGTGCGGCTCAGCACACACCAAATCCCATTGCTACGCTGCGCCTCTGCCCAGCACAAGGCTGGGCTCGCTGCCTCCCCCGCAAACCAAAGCTGTGCAGGATCCTCCAGGAGGATCCCAGGGCTGGAGTCAGCATGGCCAAGCCACGTGCAGGACGGTCCAGCACCAGAGCTTCCTGCTCCAAACGCTGCTGAACCACACTGCTCCCCGGCAAACTCCAGCAGCTGGCGTGGAGCAGGCACAGAGCCCAGCAAATCCCCAGGAGGAGGAGTGGGGCTGCCCGCCCGCTGTCCCCCGCTCCTTCTTCCCCCTCCACTGCAGTGTCCCCTGCCACCACCAACCCCCCGCACAGGGCAGCCCCCCCGCAAACTCTCTTTCTCAGGGACAGCATCACTGTGCACATTGAGCAGGCTTTGTACCGATGGGCACGAAGTGAAACGGAACATGCTGCATCAGCCATTTCCAGCCCCACGGAGCCTCCTCTCTTCCCCAGGATCCTGCACAGCCCATGGCATCCCACCCCGCTCCCCGGAACGAGCGGGTCCGGCTGGCAGCGCAGCTCCTCAGAAGGCGGGAGCCAGCTGAGCAGTAGCCCCTGGCAGCCGTAGGAGAGAGGCGGCTCATTTCCAGAGTCATTAAGGTCTGAAAAGGGTCCCATCAGGTATTCCGCCCGTTCAGCACATTTATTTTCCCAAACCACAGCGGGGATTTATGATTCCAGGCTCAATATTGGTGAGAGCTGCACACTGGCGGCGGTCGGCCAGGGGCTCTGTGCCTGGGCAGGCTGGGCGCTGCTCGGAAGAGGCCGTGCTGCCAGTCCCGGGCAGCGAGTGGGCAGCCCCGGGCATCCCCTGCTCGCCCGGCTGTGGCCGTGCCTCCAGAGCGGAGCGGCTCGGCGTTTGTGCTCGCCATGTGCACACGTGCGTGTGCAATGCCTGCAGTCCCCACATTTACACGCATCCCAGCGCTAATCCCGCAAAGGCAGGAGGGTTCCCCTGTGTGCAAAGGGTCTCTGCCGCCCCCCCTGTTCCAGCCCCTCTCGCTGAGTGAAGCACCCCGTGTCAGAGCACTTCGATCCGGGGTAAGGGCAGGCTGGAGCAGGACTCTGTGCCACAGCTTTCCCCCTGGCCGCCGCACACCCACCCTGGGGACCGCTGAACCCTGCTGCTCACCCAGCGCGGCTCCTGCCCGTGAGCCCCTCAGTGACAGACCTGCGACAGCCCAGTCCTGTGGCGCAGAGCCCTGCTGAGAGCTCCCACGGAGGATCCTCTCCCTCTCTCCATGTGAAACTTGGAGGGAAACTCAAACAGAGAGAGATGCAAACTTCAGCAGCCGGAGTGAGCCAGGGAGCCCCGCTCCGGTGCGACGCGGCCGGGTGGGTGCCCCCCGTGCCGGTAGGGGCCCCTAGGGAAGCTGAGCCAGGTGTGCACTCACCACAGTGAAATCGCGGGATGAGCAGTTCTCGCCGCTGAAGTTGCAGCTCTTGAGCATGTCGTCGAGTTGGTGGCCGGTGCGGTTGACAATGTCAGCCATGTCGGGGTCAGGGTAGAGCAAGTCCGTGGCCTTGTGACCGTCCCGGTCCTTGGGGGGCAGCCCGGTCATGTTGGCCAAGTGGAAGATGTCGGCGTCGGTGAGTGCCGAGTGGCGGTAGCGGTTGATGTTGCAGATGGTGATGGCCGGGAACACCATCTCACGAATGGCCTCCTCGTCCAGGGCCACGACGTGGGGGTGCTCCAGGTAGAGCAGCGCCGACTTGGCCGCCTGGTAGAGGAAGAAGGCGAGGGAGGCCAGGAAGGCAAATGCCCAGAGGGTCTGGCGCACGCCCAGCCGTCCCGACCGGCAGATGTGTCCCAAGCCGTGCAGCGTGCTGGTGCTGGCAAAGGTGGCCAGATCCCGGGAGCGGGGCCGGGCAGGCTCCTCGATCAGGCTCTCCTTGTCCCCTTCTTCTTTCTCCTTCTGCTTCTCATCCTCTTCAGCAAATTTGATTTTACACACGATCTCAATCGGCATCTGCCCCGTGCAGCTGGTGTGCCCAGCCAGCGAGCTGCCCCCTGGCACAGGCACCGGCCGAGAGCCCGGCCAGGCGCTGGGAGGGGGTTCGGGTCCCCCCCAAGCCCCAGCACGGCACCGAGAGGGCCGAGCCGTCTCGGGAGGGAAGCGCAGCCCCTCTCAGCAGCTCCGAGCCGCCGCTTCCCTCTTGTCTCACTAGTCGATCGTCTCCTTGTGCCTTCGCTTATCAGCACAAATACAGCTGTCAAAAACCCCTCTCTCTCCTCTCCCTCGCTCTGTCTCTCTGCCTCTCTCCTTCGCTCCTCTCTGGTTAAGACCCCAGCAGATACAGGCAGCATTTAGGCATCATGTGCTAATAAAATCCAGGGAATACTTAATAATTCAAGACATGTCAACATTATTTCATCGTCAAATAAAGAGCAAGCGTCAGAGAAAAGAGGCAGTGTGAAGGGCCCGGCGCCTCCGGGGCAGGGAGCCACGCTGCGCCCTCTCCCCAGCTCCGGCCCCGAAGTGCTGCCGGAGCCACTTGTTTGAATGGCTCGGGAGCCGCCGGAGCCGAGCCGTGCCGAGCGGAACCGAGCCGTGCCGCGCGATGCCGAGTCGTTCGCGCCGCGCCGCGCCGTGCGATGCCGAGCCGTGCCGAGCCGTGCCGTGGCGGGCGGGGCACGGAGCCTGTCCCCCGCCGTCGCCGCTGCCGCCGCGCTCTCCGCCTGGCCCCGCCGTGCCCCGCCGGCCCGTGCGCCCCGGGGCAGAGCGCGGCAGGCTCGGCGGGGGCGGGCAGCCTGCGGGCAGCTCGCCCGGCGGCCCCCTCCTGCTCGCCCGCCTGCGGACTCCTCCTGCCTCGGCGGCTCCCTGGCCGTTAACCGCCTCCCTGCCGCGGCCCGCCGCGACCCACGGCGGCCAGCGCCGAGTCACGGCCGGCCCGGCTGTCCCGGCTGTCCTGGCGGGATCCGGCCGGCGGGACGCCGCCGGACCGGGGCTGAACGCGGGGCGCCAGGGGTGCGCTCTGCCGTGCCTCCCCCCGGCCCCGCCGTGCTCCTCGGTGCCCCGGAGCCAGGAGGGCGGCAGTGTCGCCTCCCGCGCTCCGTGTCCGCCGCCCCCCTCTACACAGCGCTCGCTGTGTCCCCGGGATGGGCTCCTCCGGCTTCATTTCTGCCCCCCTTCCTTCCCTCTCCCTCCCTCGCTGCTCCTCATTGTTCCACGGCAGCGCTCAAGAACTGGGGGGCACCACAGGCAGAGATCAACTCTGCTAGAAAGGCTGAGCCGGGGTAGCCCCTCACCCTGTCCTGCCCTGCCGAGCCCTTGCTCCTCCCGGGGTCTGCTCCCTCCAGGGCACGCTGCCGTCGACCCTCGCACAGCCCCATCAGCACCCAGCCCCGAGGCAGCATTACCCTGCAGGCAGCGTGACAAGCAGCGTGTCCTCCTGCCCCGTCCTGTCCTGCCCGCGGCAGTGGGACTCTGCCAGCCTGGCTCGGTCATGAGGTGATGGGTTCAACCTTGAGGCACCAACCACAGGGCACCTGGGTCTGTCTCTTCCCAATGCACAACACCTCTGCCAGCAAGTTTTGATCTCTCCCAGCCTCCCGCTATGGTTTCACCAGCTGGTGATGGAGGGTTTGCTGAACCAACCCACTCACTCACAAGTCAAGCAACCCTCCGTGACACTGCCTTGTGGCACAGTGCTGGGGGAAACACCATGTCCCTGTCCCCAGAGCGAGCCCAGCGCTGGGTACCCCCCCCAGCAGACAGGGCTCTGCTGAGAAGGTGCGTGCCTGGCAGGGAATCCAGGGTCTCCGGAGGACAAGTGATGAGACAGCCGCCCATGAGCACGACAGAGGCCTCGCCTCTCCTCGGGGACTGCGCCGCAGGTCAGCGTGACCTTCACTGTGCTGCCAATGCCAACGGCAAAGCTTTCCCCAGCCGTCCGGCAAGCGCACATGCATCTTCAATCTTCCCATCGATCTGTGCATGGCACACATGTTTCTGCCTCTCTGTGGGTCAATACAGCATGATAGGCTGCCTCCGGCAAGGAGCACGCACAGCCCCAGCCGCCTGTTTCTCCCTGCCCAGGGGATGCAGCACGCACGTGCCAGCCCTGCACCTCCAGCTCCCAAGGACATGGTGGGAGCAGGCTGGGCAGGTGCCCCAAGCGCTGCTGCCACCACAGGTGCCCCAGACACACAGCCACCAGAGCCCAGGTGCTCCCACAGGGACCCTTGGCCCCCTGGGGGATGCTTGGCCCAGCCAGGACCATGGGTGGAAAGAGCCTGATCCTGTGGAAGGAGCTTCCATGGAGCCAGCAATGGCCAGCCCTGTGTCTTTGGTCTGCAGAGCTGGATGTGTAGTCCCTGCCTGCACCTCTCAGATGCTGTAGTGGCGAGGGACATGAGGCAATGGAGGGTCTGCCAGACAGGTCACCCCATAAGCACAGACCCTGAGGTACAGGGCAAGCTGAGCTGTGTGAGTGTGGGACCAGCTGGAGCCCAGGGTCCTGTGTGCTGGACAGTCATGGCACGGGAGCAGGACTGTCCCTTGGCTCTCCCCAGGACCCTGTCCCCCGTACCAAGGGGATCACACACTCCTGCTTTCTCTGTCCCCACACCAAGGGGATCACACACCCCTGCTTTCTCTGTTCCCCATGCCAAGTGGATCACACACCCTTGCTTTCTTTGGGTGTCTTCAGCTCCATTATTAACTGCCACCTGGACTGGGGACATGTTTCAGCACCATCCCCACAGCATGATCCCCTCCTGAGTGGCCAAAGAGGTAAGTCCTCTCCCAACTTTCCTGGCTCTCCTCTCCTGTTGTACTCTGCTCCTGCCTGCCCACCCAGCAAGGCCAAAGGGGTTTTGGGGACTCATCCCCTTGCAGGATTACCCAAGGCTAGAGTGCAGCCAGGGTGGGTTGGGATCAAGCTGTGCCCCATGAGTGGCACCCACAGCACAAGCCCCATGCCCAGCTGCAGCTGCAGGCCTGTTACAAGCCATGGAGAGGGGAGACTATGGCTTCACAGCCAGGGAGCTCTAGGAGAGAGAGCACACTGGGAGAGACAGTGGGATGGAGGTGCAGGGAGTGGGGAAGCAGCATGGCTTTGGAAGCCGGGCAGTAGGGCTTAGGGACTGCTTTCTACCCAGACAAGCAAAGAACAGAGCATGAGCTAGGAATGGCTGGTGCTGTCTGCAGTGTGTCAGTGTTTGCTGACACGTCTGCAGGTCCCCAAGGTTCCGCACCAGAGCCTCTCACCTGTGGCTGAATGCCTGCACGTGGAGGCATGAGGCCACACGGGGGGACTCTGTGGTGTGTAGTGGGGCTCACCTGCCCCTTCACCCGGCCACATGCAGCTACAGAGTCTGTTCACCCCCTATGGTCCCTCATCCAGTGCTGGGATATGATGCTAACAGTCAGGAGAAGCACAATGCCCTGGGCTCCTGTGCTGACTTCACTAGCCACTGTGCAAGCCAACAGGATGGGAGAGCCAGGCAAGGGCTTGCCAGCAGACTGGGAGAGTGGAGTCTGTCCTGGTTACCCCTGTGCCCCCCAGCCAGGGGAATGCTGATCGTCAGGGACTTGGCGCAGGGCCCATGTACTACACTCAGATGATGGGGGGAGGCTGCGGGTGCCAGGGAAGACAGGACTGGAATTCGAAATGATGTTGACAAATCGGAGAAATGGCCTGAAAACAATCAGATACAATTCAAAAGGACAAGAGCTGGGCTGGGGTGGGAAGCAAATCTGCCCGGAAAGCAGAGGGCGAGCGGCTGGAGGGCAGGGCTGCCAAGTGGGCAGGGGGGCAGGACAGAGCCTGGCTTAGCAATGGGCAGCAACATCAGCTTGTCTGAGTTTAACACCAGACCCCGGGACAATCCCAGGTGGATAAACAAGGCATGCAGAGGGGTGGAACCCTCAGGCAGGACATGTTCTGTAGGTGCAGTTATCTGTGTGAGCAGGAGCTGTTTACAGATGCCCAGCAGCCAGGCAGATGCTTGGAAAAGCAGCTGAGAGTTAGGAGAAAATAGGAGAAACCTCCTTCATTTGGGATATGGGATCTATCAGTTTAATATGGGATCTCTGGCAGCCCTGCAACTGCACTGAACTCAGTGAAAAGGACAATGTTGCTCAGGGCTGCGTGAGAAGGAGAATCATCGTGAGGCATCTGAGGCGTTGCTGGCGGCAAGGCCTTACTGGGAGCCCTGTGTCAGGTCTGGGACACACATCAAGAACAATCCAAACTAACTGTAAAGAGTTTAGAGGATGGCAGTAACAGAGAGCAGTGATGGGGACTGGCTGGAGACACTGGAGCTTTGGGTGAGAGCAGAGGAGGTTAAGAGGCTGTATCCATGGACAAAATAACAGCACAGAAGGAGGGGGCTTTCTTCAACATCAGGGCTCTGACACACCCACAGAACAGAGCAGGAGACAGGTGAAGCCTACACATGGGAGAAGCTGGCCCCACAGTCTGCAGGGATGCTTGGTGAACCTAACCCTGCTGTGGTGCCCTCCATCACCCTCATGGTGATTCATCCCCTCCAAGACACAGGCACTGGCTGTTTCTATTCTTAGCCCAGTCCAGATGAGGATTTGGATGTGATTTCCCTCTCCTGTCATCCAGCCAAGGGATTGGATCTTCCATACCAAGACCCAAACTCCCACTGCACTCCAGCCCTGGTGCTGTGCCCCTGCAGTGAGCTCACCCTCCCAGCCAGCCTGAGGGACTGCAGCTCCTCAGGAGGGATGCAGGGGATCAGCTCAGGGCACCACGAGTGAGGTGGCAGGGGCAGCCCTGGAGGGTGGGGACATGGGTGATCAGACTGTTGCAGACCTGGGTGGTCAGCAGGCAGGTGTCCAATGGGAGACCCCCATCAGGCAGCTCCCACCTGATACCCTGCCGGCCAAACTGGCCAGGGTATGGATGCAGCTTGCTGAGTGCTTTACTGCCAGCCCAAGCCATGAGCTGGCTGCTACATCTTCCTCGCCAGCTCCTCACACTCCAGAGCTGGCGCTGGCCACGGCCCCACGCCCAGAGGGAAGTGGATCTGGGGCAATCATTACTTTTGATCTAATTGAAGGGAACGTGACTGCGGAGCCCAGCTGACCGCAGCGCTCAGCTCTGCCTCATGCAAGTTGCATCCTCTGAGACCCTTGCAAGCACATTGGCTTAACAAGAACAGCCTCCTTCCATGGCCTCCCCGGCACGCTGCCGGCGCCTGCCCAGCAGGTCAGTCTGTGCAGCAAGGACAGCAAATGCCTCGGCTGTGGGGAGATGTGGGATGACAAGACATCCACTCCAATTACAGGAGAGCAGGGCTGGCGACAGTGTGATGAGCATGCCAGGCATCAGTGCCTGTTGTGGAGCTGGCTAGGGGGGGCACAGGAGCAGTAATGCTGCCTGCACCCCACTTGCTGAAGCCTCTGCAGCATCCTCCTGCACCCACTGGGAGTGGTGGGGCTGGGAGTGGTGGGAGGGAGCTGGACACACCAGGGTAGGAGCGGAGCCATTGATGTGAGTGCTGTTACCACCTGTATCGTGCTGGGATGGGGAAGAT